GGGTTTTGATACCAAACTCTCCAGGAAGAAATAATAGATTCTTTCAAGAAAGCCATCGATAAGCGAAAACTTGGATGTAAGTTTTGCCTGAATGCTGTCTGTTCCATGAGCAAATTGTTGTGTAGACTGTAATTGGCCTAAAACACGGATGACATATAAATGAGTATATGTCAGGTGCTATGAAACAAGACAGCTTCACATCAAACCCTGGGAAAGTGATGGAACACATAGTCCCTAAAACCATTTCCAAACATAGTACAGCAAGAAGGCAACCTGGAGTAGTCACCATGAATTTATGTGGGAAATAGTATTTTACAACAAAATGACAAGTGCAGTGGATGAGTGCAGTGGATGTTTTTTATCTTGAATTTAGGAAGGTATTTGACCCTGTCTCCTATTACATCTTTATAGACAAATTAAATTAGGACTAGATAGGTGGACAGTGAGGCGAAATTAAAACTGTCTGGACTGCCAGGCTCGAAGGGTTGTGATCCATGACACAAAGACTAGCTAGAGGCCAGTCACTATTGTCTGTACCCCAGAGGCTGATACTAGATCAATAGCCTTCATTGATGATCTGCATTATTAACAATGCAGAAAATTTTAAGGAGAGCTTTATATGTGAGATGGTTGTGCTGCCATTCTGTGGGACCTTGGCAGGTGGAGAAATGGGCTGAGAGAAATCTCATGAAATTCAAGAAAGGGAAATGTCAAGCCCTGCACTTATCAATGAGTGATCCCCTGCACCAGTATGGTGCTCAGCAGCTCACCAGCTGGGTGCTCAGCAGCTGAAAAGCAGCTTTGTAGTAAAGGGCGTGGGGGCTGTGGTGGACAGTAGCCTGGCTGTGTGCCAGCGGTGTGCCCGTACGGCAAAAGCAGCCAAGAGCATCCTGGGCTGTGTTAGGAAGAGTGTTGCCAGCAGGCTGCGGGAGGTGATCCTGCGGGCTCCCCAGGGCAGAACAGACATGAACTTATGGGAGTGAGTCCAGCAAAGAGGCACAAAGGTGATGAAGGGACTGGAGCATCTCTCATATGAGGAGAGGCTGAGAGCTGATTTGCTTTCCCTGGAGAAGAGACCCCTCAGGGAGTTTGTATTGATGTGTGTATAAATAGCTGATGGGTCTAAATAAGATGGAGCCAGACTTATCTCAGTGGTGTCTAGCAAAAGGACAAGAATCATTGAGCATAAACTGAAATACAGGCAACTTGTTCAAACTTAAGTAAAACGTTATTGTCAGGGCGGCTGAACGCTGGAGAAGGTTGCTCAGACAGGCAGTGGAATCTCCATCCCCAGAAGCAGTCTGAGCCTAACTGGACATGGTCCTGGGCAGCTTGCTGTAGCTGACCCCGCTCTGAGCAGGGAGGTTGGAAGGGACAATCTCCAGAGGTCTCATCTGACCTATCGGGTGCTCTGATTCTGTGGCTAGGGTTACTTTAGATTGTTCACTATCCTGTCTTTTCATATTCTCCATTTTTAGTGGTAGGTGAAATAGAAGAACAATAGTAGAGAAGAATTATTTAGAGGATACTAGTAAAGGGACAGTTCTTTACTGCAAAAATCTCCCCTGTAAAGCCATGAAAAACCTCTTTATTGGATGTGGCAGTTCAGTTTGCTGCAGTGTACTGAATCAACATCCTACTACAGTGCTCATTGAATGGCACTCTGTATTTGCGGTTAGGACAGGAGTGTTCCTGTGGTTTTGATGTTCGTAAGTCCAACACATTTGATTAAATTATGCACTGAATCTGTTGGACTTTAGAACATTTTCCTGCAGTTTGCACTGATTGCTTTTATTAATCAGTTTTGTAACAGCTTGAGAGTAAAGGTTGATTGCAGGTGACTTCATAGAGTATTTTGGAGATTTTGTTGTTGAGAAATAAGGCAGTTGAATTTTCTTCAAACTTGTTATCTGCTTATTTTGACAGAGTCATCCTCTGTGGTTCATATTTATATATGTATTAGAACAGTAAACTATTTTACAGCTTTTTAGTCTTTGTATTAATGTATATAGCAGCTCTGTTTTGACTGGGGGTTTTGCTTTTTGAAGTTGCCATGTCTTAGAAGAAGATGAGGACACATCATTTCTGTAGTACGGACAGTTCTATTAAAGGGAGAATATCTGGTGAGCAGTTTTCATCACAGTAGAAAATTAATTAGCTGAATATTTGCCGCTTGCAGTATACATGAGGTATGAATTAACTTGCATTCAGTGATTCTGTTATCACCAGCTTTCCTCTGTTTTCAGACAGACAATTCCAGAAGGTGGTTTAACGTGTTAGCTAGACTCCAGTAGATGAGAAGAGTCATATAGGTAAACTGCTACCATTTAAATGTTATTGCCTGGCAACAATAATATTATTACTACAATATATATGGAATATAAATTGCTATGGTAGTGTAACTACTTCCGAGTTATGATACAGAACAGGGTTTTTCCATAGCCTTTGTTTTCATGGTTTGGCTTCTCTGATGTCATTAAATAAAGCCCATAAAATTCATTGTAGCCGGTTATAGCAAAATCCAGTAAATCCTCCTAATGCCTTTTGGCAAGTTACTTTACCAGACTGACTATTCACTGAATGTGTCATTACACAGTTCTTTCTGAGGATACTGAAGGTGCTCACATATCTGGCAAGAAAAAAGTATTATTCTTTTAACTACCATTTTCTCCCCTTTATGGTTTGTATATGTTATAGGACATATATACAATAAAATACTAAAATATCTTATGTGTAATATCCATTACATAATATCTGACCAAATAGTTTTCATTCTTACTTTAGTAATATAGTTCACTACATGAATATTCTAAGGTGCTTGCAATATTTTTTTTTTAGGTGTTCAAAGCTATAGTTAATCATATACAATATCTCTTACATGTTACCTGCAATCCCAGGTGATCATTGAACAACTAAATCTTAAGTACAAGTTATATTAAAGATATTTAAAATGCATTAGACTAGCAAAAAATATTAACTCATTATAGACAGTAGTTCTGTATAAGGTAAGAAATCTTAGTGGTCACTCTCGATAGATGCAGAACATAAATACTCAAATAGGATGTGGCCAGAATATGAATATTATTAATCTTATTTATCAAAAATAGTGCTAGAGCCTATCTAGAAATGATCTATTTTTGTTAATGTTTGTGGAATAGTAGCAGTGGAAACTAGATTCCTCTTTCAGTCCTAGTCCCTCTCTTCCTCTCTCTTGGGGTGTAAATCAGTCCTGTAGATGGAATGCAGATTGTGAAACTTCTAAGACTGGAATGTTTCCAAAAGTTTGGAAGTAAGGGAAAACAGAAGGAGGAAAATGTCATTTTTGTTCACTTTGGGGATAGTATTTTGATTTATTTGGGTGCTGGGTTTTTTAGATAATATGGTTTGGTCTGAACTTCGAGACTTCTTGTGCCTAAGTGAGAAATGTACTGGGAACTGCATGTGCTTTAAAACATAGACGTATAGTATTCCATAATGCTTAATGGTAAATTTTTTTTTTTTTTTTTTTTTTTTTTTTTTTTTTTTCAAAGCAAGCTTTTACATGCATTACTACTTAAAGAAAATCCCTTTGTATAATCGGTATCCAAGAGAAGGTTAAAAAAAGTCAGTGTAATACCTAATGAAATATTGCACTTAATGTCCATGCTTTACAGAAAGGGCAAAATGTGAATTCCCTTGTCATATTACTCTTTGACTGTTTTCCTACATGATTTATTAAGGCCCTTGATTTTAAGATGGCTCAGTAAAAATTTGTAAGAAAATACAGCATCTTAATAGCACTTAATCAAATTTTTATGTAGATACTCTTTCTGTGGTTATTAACACACTAATATAGATACAAAATACTATATCATTCAGAAACCCTGCACATGACTGTGTGCATGTTATATTAATGCACTACAACTTACTTTTGAACTAAACATTTAATTTTTAAATAGTGTGCTTCCAAGCACTCTGAATAGTCTATGGAGGGAACACTTATTGTTGGCTTGATCTTTGCTGTCAAGGTAAATAGTTCTATATAAATCTCTTTAAAACCTTTTTATTTTAGGTAGGTTTAAAGTAAGCTTTACTCTGTCTGCCAGATAAGTAATGCATTAAAGTTGAGTCAAGTTGAATTTAATTCTAGTTTTATTTAGAATTAAATTTATTCTATAATGCTTTACATTTTAAAAAGTCATTAGAGTTATTGTTTGTGTTCCATTTAATTCCGTGAATTGTTTTCTTTGCCAAAAGTTCAAAGATATAAGGAAAAGGAAAAAAAATGCAAATTGATTTTTCAGGCTTGAACTTTTCAATAAGCTCAGAAATGTGTGTTAAAGGATGCAACTTCCATGCAGTTTAGTTATTGAAGAGGGATTATGTGGTCTCTAATCCACACATAATAGTACCTATTAAAAGCTGGTATATGTGTGCATGCATAATTCAAACAGAGAAAACTTAGTAGAGTTAATCTTAAAACGTAGCAAAGTGATAGAGACCATCTTTATACGTGGCTGATGAAATCGTTAAATTTGCGATAGCAGTAAAATGCCAAGATTAATATTCTACATTCTGGCATGCTGTAATTCTAGCTAAGAAGACATCTGCAGAGGTCTGTGCTCTTTATGCTAACCATCTGCTCTTGGCTTTGCTTTCTGTCTAAATATATTGTTCTAAATGGTGGTATTTTCGGTTCCTTTTGCTGTAATGTTTTTCTGTCCTGTTAATTGTTATTTTCTACATATAATGCACATAAATGAATGATGCATAATAGTTTAATTAGCAGTTGAATCAAAAGTTGGTTTAAGATGTTATTTAATTTTGGATTTGCTATCTACTTTTATACGCTTTTTAATGGAAAAATTGCTGAAATACTTATAGCAGCATATTTAAGTCATATGTCATAGACATACATATATATGAGTACATACATGTGTTATATATATGAAAATTGCCAACAACATTATGCATTCTCAAACTGTTAGATAACAGCTACCTTACCTCTTCTGCCATTCCAGGAGCTGCTAGACACTTTCTGGAAACTGGTATGGCCAGACTTGTACTGGTCTAAAGCATGAGATAATTCATTATCCCTGGGAAGTTGTGTGACACCAGTCGGTATCTTGCTTGTCTGCATCAAAGTGCTGTTGGCAGTAATAGCGTGCAAATAGTGTGCTGGAGTTCAGGGTGTTGAAGGGAGCTTGCAGTGGTCCAGCAGATGATCATTCTAACTGAAAGGGAATTCATTATAGCTGTTAATAGCTTTGTGTGCTGTATCCTTGGATGCACTGCCACACATTGTGGAAGGCCAAAGTCTTTTCCACAGGAAAACGCACTGCCTTCTTTCTGCCATATAACATGAGTTTCAGTAAGAATATAATAGGAATATCCCACTATGCTTCATCTTCTCCATGATACGTTACTGTATGCAAGTCCTACATAAATGTCTGGATAGATGCTGGAGGACAGATCCCAGATCACAATGAGAAATGTCTGGATAGAGATCCTTGAGTGGATCACTCTGAGAAATGAACCCAGCTTGTGTCAACATAGCAGTAGCAGTAATTAATGTCTTTGTAAAACACGGTTGCATTCCTAGAAGTCAAAAATAAAATTAGGGGGCAGTAGATATTATTACTCTTTTGATGATTTTTTTCTTTTTTTTGGTCAATATCACCTGAATCTTTAAAATAAGGCCTTAAGTATAAAAGCAAACCCAGGCAGCTGCCTATTTACTGTAGTTGAGTTGTTTTGTTTGATCCCTCCATTTTCTAATCACAGGAAGCCGTGAGTTGCTGGGGTTTGTCAAGCAAACATGCTATATATTCAAACTAAAGATGCTGCTGCTTTCTTTTCTAACTTTTGAGTATGTCTTTCTGATTCCAGCTATTACCTGCTCATAAAACTTCCTTACAAGTTCCAATTTCAGAATAATTGCTTTCTTCTCCATAGGGTCGTGGCTGCTTCTTGACCCTGACTCACAGCAGGTTCCTGTCCTCATGACCTGCTGGCAAGTCTGTCTGTCTGAGCTCCTGTAGATAGAAGTGTGAATGCTGCTACTGGCATTTTAAGAGGCATAAAGGGAAATTGATGCAGAGCTCTGTGATGGTAGGAAGATACGATGCTGCATATTTTGGTAGCATAGGTACTAGGAGATTCGGATGTGTGTTTGGGTGCCTTTGCAGACAAACTAAGGATCAGCCATACACAAAATTTCCCCATGCTGGCATGCCATGATATCATCAGTGTTGTCAGTATTATGGTGTCTCCAAGGTTGCTGCTACAGAATAGCACAGCTGAAGTAACCTAATTTCTGATGGTAAGGAAGCAAGTGTTGACTGATTTTACTGCACTATGACTAGTAAGATATTAGTGAATACTCTAGTAGACTGTAGCTTGTTTTCAGCAATTTGTGACATTATCATGGTTTAGAAAAATACATAAGCATACCATTGTATTAATTTGATTGTTCATGTATACTTGTTTTAAAAAATATGTGCTACACTTATCTGTTGTATATCTGTATAAACCACAGTATGCACGTTTATAATTATACCTCTTTCACAGATTACTAAAATAGAAAACATCGGTCATTTGAGTGAACTGAGAGTGTTAAACCTTGCCAGAAACCTACTAACGATTGTAGAAAATCTTAATGGACTGGATTCACTTACAGAGCTCAACCTTCGTCATAATCAAGTCTCTGCTATAGTAAGGAAGAAAACTCTTTGTCTTTTTATCTTTGACTTTTTTTCTTTGTTTTCAACAAAATGCAGTGTTACTGTAACTTGTTTAGACCATATCAACTTTTCAGATTTGTCAAATCTTGTATTTTCCCCTATTGTGTTGCTTATGTTGTTCTGCTGCAATACTTCTACAACATAAAGGTGAAACAAACAGCAATTTATTTTTGGTGTTCTTTTGATTAAATGTGATAAGTGGGGTTGGACTGGATGACCTTTAAAGGTCCCTTCCAACCCAAACTGTTCTGTGATTCTGTGATGACTTGTAGTAATTAAAATCTTGATAGCTCATGATGGTTCTCCAGGGGGAGAAAAAAGATTCTGAAGCATTGTGGTTCTAACATACAAATTTAGTTACTTTCTTCCATACAAGTTTGTTTCCTAGAAACAAACCCTCTCTTAATTTCTGTAGCTTGGCTAAGCAGTCAGACCATCTTAAATTTCATCTCCTTATGAATATTTCTGGGGCAAATGCAGAGAAAACAGGTATTGATCTTAAAAGCAGAATTTCCTAATTAAAGCTTTAACCTAACATTGTAATTCTTTATGTTTTATAAAGTAAAGTTTTTAACTTTGTTATTTATGAGTTGTAGTTCAGGTATGGCAAATCGATTATTTGAAGAAGTGCTTTTTAATATAATACAGTAAGTCTACTTAAATAGCTATATTTTTTCTGGTCCTCATAATTTCTTTAGTTCATGGTCTTCTATTGCTGCTGAGCCTTTCCTTTCTTGAATTTCTTCTACTTGCCATATATGAATTGTTATTACACTTCAAGAATAAGAAATTTCCAGTCATTGCTGATTCTGTTACTGTACCTTCCCCCTGCATCATGTTGCCTAGAATTCTCTTCCTTGATTGTAGCTTCTGCTTTTTAATT